TATGATAACTATATATAAGTCAAATCTTAAATAGTAAAATAATATAATTTACGAACTTATTTTACAGACACAGTATTTTATAAGTTTTTTTTCTATACGCGCCTATTTCCTATTAAATATCCTTGACTGTGCCTATATACATTTTACATAATATGTATGTATTATACAGCTATACAAGACGTGTTTAGCCTACGTTATTTTATCATTCTATTACAGAATATTGGCATATACATGTATACATAAGGAGTTTCCTTTGTATGCTCTAGGTACGTCAAATACTCATGAGAATAAGATGTTCTAAAACTATCAGTGTTGTAACTAAATCCATTTCGAAAGAACCGATGTAATAATTAATATCTAGAGTAAGACTGTTGTCTGTAAGTAATATTTTTAGATTACAGTAGCTAAACGCTATATATAAAGTATGTCTATAGAGTGATTTTTTTTAAAACACTTAAAACTTTACTCTTTTTTATCAAAAAGTATGAATGTTTTTAAAACAAGTACCTAGTACTTAATATTAACAGTATCAACAGCTCACTAGTATTAAATTCAATTTTTACATATTAAAAATCTCAGACAAATATTTTACTTTGGAATATGAAATTCAAAATTCAAAAGTTTAAAAACTTTAAAGAAATTTTAAAGTGATAAGAACGTTAAAATTAAAAAAAAAATTAGTGTTGATTTTAGTTATGAATTTTTTTTTATGAGTTAAGTACCTTTTATAATATATAGTATTCAAAAGATATTTATAGGTTTTAGGAAATCACAGCTGTTTAGTATACATATATAAGCCTAACGGTTACCTATGTACAAGATTGCCACTACATTAGCGTAATTGTTTGACCGGTATAATAATTTGCTGTTATTATATCTTCGACCTAGAAAAACAGCCACATTTTTGTTTCTATAAACATTTTACACATTTTAGTGCAGGTATAGCCGTAAAGGCATATTTATTTAAAAATATCATTAATATTCATCATAAACTAACCGAATGACCAGTTCCGTTTAAAAATTCATAATCACAAAACTTATCACATAATTATAATAATTTTTTTTTCAACTATAAATCAATATTTATAAAAATAGAACTATATATCAATAACTTAAATATTAATCTTTTAACATTGAAATATAATATATTTTATCACTATTATCGGTAAATTCATTACACATTTAAAAATATAATAGAAGTATGATTTAAATTTTTGATACTAGTGATACTATTGATTTTTACTTACGAGTATAATCTTGTTAATTAAAAATTAAAATTGTTGACTACAAATATGTACCTATAACAAATGCATCCTGCTAAATAAAATTTTAATTTTAAATGTGATGTATTATTTTAAACTGAACTGCGTTAGGTTAGGTTTTAGTGCACTTAAACTTTAATATTTTATTCCTATTTTGTAACAGTTATTATGCTTATGAAAATCTATAAAATTATACTTTATAAGTAAAATGTTTTAGAAATACTTGTAACAAATTTAATGTATTTATTTATTAAAAAAAAATATCTTTTTTTCCGAATTATATAAACCCGCGTAGAACTATAGACCAATAGCACAAAAAATAAATAGTTTGCTTAAGTCTGTATTTGTCGTACTTGACAACCAAGTTAATTAATAAACATCATGTCAACTCAAAAAAAAAATCTGGATAAATACAGTGAAACTTTGAAGGTTTGTCGGAGAAATCGCCAACAGCATATAATAGCAATAGTTATAATAATATACTGTGTGTGCGTGTAAAACAGTACAGCGCACTGTCGGCATTAAAACTATTTAAACACAAGCCGCGAGTGTAACATATTATAATATATATAATATATATGTATACATTGTATTTTGATGATATGTAAAATAACCTAATATACCAAACACATATAGCGTTGCACGCAACAGGTTGCATTTGCCTATGGAAATAAAATATTTATGTTTTTATGTAGTTTAAACTTTCAATAATTTTCATCTGTACTGCAGGTACCCGAGCTCGTAATAGCCTCTATACAATTATAATATACATATATTATTATTATTCATATGATATTTGATAAGAGTTATAAATACTTGGAACAAAGAAGTGTGAACATAATATGGATATGGTGTTATATTATATTATATGTTTTATTGTATTGAATTTAACTCTGTGCACAATATGATATATTATTAAATTTTGTACAAGCGCATAATGTATAGTATAAAAACGATAAAGAAAATACGACTCTTGTCTGCTGTGGTCGTAAATATATTACCTCCATCATTAGAACAATATTATGTTATGAAATTGCGATTTATTACAGCTATATTTATTCGATATTATAAATTATTATATGACGACATATTAAAAGAAGAACTCTACGATTAAGCTATGTGCACGTAAATAAAATTATAATATGAAAAATTAATTCTCGTCCTATAAGCCTAACCTAACCTATCTTATTCTTTTAGTACTAAATTATTCCATTAAACATTGTTATTCTATGTGTTTCATTATGTTTTACATCATTGATATTAAATTAGGCTATCTATATCTATAGAATCACGTGGAGACTTGACAACGCTCGAGGGCGTATTACGTATACTAAAATAACATAATAGGCACTTTGTGGAGTACACTGTATATTGTATAGTGTATATGTATATATGTATAAGTATATTGTATATATATATATATATATATAAGTATTAAAATTAGATAGTATTTAACAACGAAATATCTTGTAATGATTTATTTTATTTTTCTAATATTGAGTAAGATTTCAACTATTAATTAATAATATCTTTTATAAATATCCAAAATGTATATTATTTGTAAATAATTAGTTTTTTAACAAATTTAACAAATTAAGATTATTTTTCCACAAAAGCATTTTTTCAATTTTATAATAGTTATAGTATATTATTATATTATTATATAGTTATTATGAAAGTCTTCACGAAGTGTAGTGCAATTATGTATTCATGCGCTATAGTGCTCAAGTTCGAAATTAATCTTGTAGTTTGTACGAAATGATAAGATTGAAGTATATATTATTATGCGAGATTAATTATTTACGATAATTTTGTATCAAGTATTTATAAATATGTTTAATAATCGCTACTGCCAGAGTTAGAATTTACATGTAAAAAATTTTATCTTGTATCTTTTGAAAACCAAACTGTTTACACTATTAAAATAGTAATAATTGTTCATATAAATTATTATTATAATTATTTTTCTCACAGATCAAATAAAAACAAATTTATAACACAAAATATAAAACTACTATAAATGCTGTAGAATTTCATGTTGCGTACTAGCGCATCTTATTAAAATGTTTAATAAGTATTTTTGTCTATAACCATGCCAAGTTTGTACACGAATATAATAAATGTAAAATTAATGAAAGTTTTGAAATAAACGAGTTAAATCAAATCTAAATATATTATATTATTAAATAATAAACGTATAATATGCAGGTTCATGTTATATAATTTTGCGCAGTCCGGTCGTCGTTCGGCAAAAACTATCACAGCATTGCGTGTAGCATTTCGAATTTAGCGTTGACATTTAAATAAGGATACCTATTAAGCTCGGAATTTCGTACGGCCTCGTGCGTGCGTAGATACAGCTAGTTGTTACAGTTTATGTATAGGCGTATAACCACATGAGCTAGTATTGAACTCAAAACGTCTCTCAGTCTATTAAAAATAAAACCAAACACGCGCACACACGAGTACCTACAGTATTGAAATACCGACTGAACCCGAACACGATCGTTATAATACGATACATATATATAAAAAGTTATAACTACCTATATATAATATACGTGTAACATATTTTTATAATCATGCATATTATTATTATATATATATGTTGTGTAAACACGAGTACACAACGCAAATACATAATCCAAATATATATATATATATATATATATAATGAATGCATACAATAATATGTATATTATTACGACGTTCACTTTAATATTATTATTATAAACTATAGCGTGTGCAATGTGTGCAGTGTATAGTGACACAGCCGCCGTGCGGGTGCAGGTTTTCTGAACACAATAGATCTAGTTTTCGCGGAGCCGTATATATTACATAATATATATATATATATATTACATAATATATATATATATATATATATATATTATATTATAGTATAGGTAGATAGACCACAAAGAAGATATACAACACGCATATCGTGTGAAATTTTTCTCTTTTCTTTCGCGGACTTGAACCAAGTTATATCGAATTAGTTACTATTTTTTATTACTCGTTGTATTGTTAATGGGTGTTAATTTTAATTTGGAGCTGATATACATACTTAGTTAATACATTATTATTATTATCATCATGACTATTTCACACAATATCCTAGACATTTCAATTAATAAAATAATAGATATTTTTACCGACAATAAATCAATTTATTACAACGATAACCGTTTAACGATTAAAAGCGTTTGAAAAAAAAATATATTCATACATAATAATGTAATAGCAATTTTAACAGTAAAAAAATTTGTTAGTCTATCGAACAGATTTTTTTCGTTAAAATACTGCGTGTTATATTGTGAAATTTTGTATAGTTTCTGATCGAATTTCAAAAAAAAAAAAATTCAATACATAATAGATTCGTGTTTCACATTTTATAATTATTGTACCTATACATTATTCCTCTAGCCAATCTCGTCCCAACAATAAGTAGCCATCATTCGAATGTTACGACCGCGTACCTATTTCATACTTAATCACTTAAACCATAAAATAATATTATAATTTATAATAAAATATATGATATCGTAGAATAATTATTTTTTAACGCACATTATTATTAATATTTTGTCGGGGACCTAGGTATACCAGGATAAAATACGAAGAATAAAGTCCCGCGTCACAATAATAATAAAAGGTGTCTGCATGTGTGGTGGGGGCCGAAGACGTCCGACCTACTCTCGAGGTAACTAGCTATAGAATTACACAAATACTCGCGCGCGCATTATGTTCCGAGACCATGATACTTGTACATGGTTTATATACTTTAAACCGCCGTAGTTGTCCGTCAAGAGCGGTCCGTGCACGCAAGACTATTGGCTTGCCAAATTTTTCGAGAGCATTTGCGAGCCAGAAAAAAAATTACAACGATCAAATTGATCGATTGACGGTTGTGGTACAAATTTTTACAATTTAACATAAATTATTAACTGACAACCGTTATTGTAACGCAAAGTACATCATATCGTTATAATAATATTTTATAGGTACGTCGCATTTTGTCGTTTTCCACATTTCTCTTATACTTGCGCGTGCATGAAAATAGATATTGATAATATTAAAAAATATCGTTTGCGATCATAATTTATTATATTCGTGTCACCGAAGAAAATTGACAAGAAAATTGCGCGCGAATTCTAACTCAGTACGTCGTGGTCCGCCGTCAGGATTCGTTCGGAATCGCTTTTGTAAAAGTTTTTATTACGCCAACCAAAGATCGTCACGACTACACATCTATTCAATCTCCACTCCAAACATAATATAGACGTAAGTGATTCATATGACTTTATTATCACTTTTTTAATAGAAACGTTTTACGCACATGCTTGGTTTACAACGATTTTATTGAAAATTTAGATTGAAAAATATAAGAAAAAAGTATTAAGTAATACATTATATATTATACTAAATAGGTAGATAATTAAATATGAACATTTTTTGAAGAAAACACATCTTTCATCACTCAATTTTATAAAAACGATAATATATATTTATGACTATGGCCATAATAATCTTATTATTATTTTTTTTTTTATTACGTACGTATAATCTATGTGTGAAAGTTTTTTTTTTTTAAATTTAATATGCAAAATAAAATTTAATTTTAATTTTTATGTTTTATTAGACTCAATTAAAACCATATTATTTTCAACTTTTGAAATAGGTATACTTTAAAAAATAATGATAGTAAATAATATAATCGTTTCATAATTAATACATAATACAGATGTATTATTATAAAATTATCTTATCTTTATGTCGCACGTTTATGTGAATTTCGTGTTTGACACGAAAAATTGATCGCAAAAATGTGCGAAAATATTTACACAAAATATTTTTGGTAGACAACACAAAATCTTTAGTTACCATATAATTTTTATTATTATTCGTAATTAAAGATCCAATCTAGTCCATTAATGTTATTTTTGATTAGGTTTATAAATTAATTTTTAAACAACCTGCCCTATGCACATAAACATAATATGAAATAAACTTTTTAGTATACTAATATTAATAAATAGTAAATATTGATAAAAATGATACAAAACATATAATGTTATTGTAGACAGATTTAATTACACAGTGTTATAGTAATAATTAATAAAAACTCTTATTTTAAACTATCATCAAAACAATATTTTATTAAATTTAACTAACACAATTTGGTATTGAAGGTTAGTATTGCATTTTGTAAATAAACAATAAGTCATTTTTTAAGCATTCGTTTACTCTAGTTTTCAATAAAAAATGTAATTATACGAACAACTAAAAAAAGTTATCACATTATTCATACGTATAATCTACTAAATAATGTATTATATATTTATATTTTGTACACGAAATGTTGTAATTTTAATATCATTATAAAATTGATGAAAATAATTAAAAGATGACATTTATTTTTTGATTACTTAAATTATTCGTTAAGTACTTGAGCAATAATTTTAATAAATACGAAGATATTATAACGTCATATTTTTCTAAATTACAAAATATATTTAAATTTAGTATTTTTTGAGTTATTTAAAACAAAATAGATTATGGTATAATGTCTGTATTTGTTAACACGAGTCACAAACTATGACATTTTAACCGTGTACTTGAAGCATCTTTGACTTTTCTGAAGATTTTTAAAATAAAAATTTATAATTGTGTTTATACAAAAAATAACAACAAAATATTTAATACCTAGCTTATTTAATATTTTATTCACAAGTATATTAGTTACCAGCAGCCTGTATAAAAATAAATTCAAAAAATATTGTAAATACGTCTAATTTTATAAAATCTACGAAAGCTTGGTCAAGGTTTATTGCATGACGAAGAGAATGTATTTTAAGAAAACTACAGAAGTTGAATACGTATTAATTTACGAGTAAAATAAATTAATAATTATTTTAATTTAATTAACTTTGTGTTTATTGTTTTTAAAATAGTATATCATAACATTTTGTCTTAGAAAATTAAATAAATATTTATTTCACATATTTTAACTGTAAATTCTTAGGTGCCAATACATAAAATATTTAAGTATCAGATTATATTTTTAGTATCAATGCAATATTATAGTATTATATTATTTTTATTTTAGAGTATTTTTGCGATGGATTTTTCTAACAAAATTGGAAATGACAACACACCACTCTCAGACGAAGTCTTAGAAGTTCTAGAAACTCAATTCAATAAAGTCAAAACTCTCCATTCTACTGATTTAGAGATTATTGCAGCTGAGTTGGGTGTCAGAGATTATGATGTTAAGGTAATACAATACCATAATATTATATAAATTATAACCGTTTGAAAATATATTTTAGTAATATTATAAAATGGTTAAAAAGTTTAATTAATTATCTCGTTGCAATTAAAAAACAAAATTATATCATACGTGGTGGATGATAGTTAGTAATATTATTGTACCATTAACCTACATCAAGGACCAGAGTACTATATTTTAATTATATGCAATTGTGTCTAATCAAAAAATTATTAAAATACGCGACCATCAGTTTTAAGACCATTCATAGATTTAAACATGACTTTTATGGGATTTTAAGAACAATATAGTTAAATAATAAATTTTCATTCTTTTTGTCAATCACACCAACCTTGCAAATTGTAAATAACACATTACTTCTCTTCTATTAAATATATATATAGGGTCATACAAATTATAAAATATAGAAAATTAAGCTGTTACAGTAAATATGTTTTTCATAAAAATATATTTATAATTTTACTATAGTTATAAATGTCTAAAATTGATGTCGTCAATGTATGTGCAGGTTTACGAATGCATATACCAAGATAATTTAAAAAAATACTTTTATTGTACAACTTTTGGCAATTTTAACATAAAGATTAAAAAGAAATTGAATTAAAATCACAAGTGTTATGCAAATTTGAATTTTACTTTTAATTTTTTTGAGATATCCCAAATTCTCGGTTATAAACGGTTCATACAATTGCAAATATTTATTAATATTAAATGCAATAGAATTATTGATATTCAATTTTCATGTATCCATTTAATAAATAACAGAATAATGTGTATGATTATAAAATCTAAATACAATATGGATTTTGTTTTAACTTGAAGAAATGATCAAAATAAATATACAGGTATATTAAAATTTGTAAATGAATATATAGTAGTCTGCACAACATATATCAATATTATTAAGAAAATGAAACAAAATTAGTTCTATCGATTACTAGGACAAGGATTCTAATAAGGTACCTACAGCAATGCTATATAAAAATTAATCTTCTATTGTCTATTTTAGTTATCAAAACAGAATTACAATACAAATACACAATACAATAGTGTATTAAAAAATAAAATATATAATCGCGTCAATCTGCTGATAAAAATCTAAATATCTGTATTTCTGTTGTTCGATTTGCATATTGTGACTCATGCGTGGTCGTTTCAGTTTTAAAATTTTGAAACCTCATTTAATGAATAAGTTTTAAATTTTATAATATTTATTTTATGTTTAAAAATAAAATGTAAAGTAGCTAGCAGTTTGGTGCCAATAGTATAAATGTGTTTACGTTTTTGCTTATTTTTAGTTAAAATTAAATGTATATCTCAATTAAAATAAGCAAACGAAATGGAATTTTTAATAAATTTGTAGGTTTATGTTTTAGTATATAGTTAGGTACTTATTACATTAACATTTTTATTTTGTTATTATTAAGCTCGATTTCTCCAACGAGTTGTAAACAATTATTGTAGTTTAATATTTACATACCTATATTCATGGGTGTCCCCAGAAATTTTTCTAGAGGGTGGGGGGCAAAATTAATTAAAAAAATAAATGAAGATTTTTAATACATTTTATTTTAGTACATTATTATGTTTTGTCATTATTAAAATTAGGTATTATTATAATACACTTTATTTATAAAACATTTTTATATTTCGTCATTATTACATTAAATTATTACAATTAGGTTACAAATTTAAAATTCTAGGGGACAAATGTTCCGTCTTGTCCCCCCTGAGGACACTCATGTCTATATTCATACGAAATCTATGTTATAACTTTCCTAATGTTAAAAATTATACGTACAGGTATTTGTAACAATTTTTAATTATTTTTTATTAGTTGCGGTGATAAAGAATATTACTCATTATTAGAGTGTGATATGTTAATATTTGTTATGTATTACTAATAATTATTTTAGCATGAATTCGATTTTAACAAAGTGGATTATGTAAATAAATTTAACAAATGTACTTAAAAAATAAAAACTAAGGAATAATTGTTTAATTTTTATTTGGAGGATTTAGTAAACACTAGACAGTAGTTGCAATCAACGTTTAAACTATATACTGATAAGATTCTTGATACTCGAAATATTTATTATTATTATTATTATTATTATTATTAATAAATCTTAACGATTTGAATTATTTGTACGCTCCCTTGTTCAGAATGAACTAATTTAAGTCAATCAGCTGCAGTTTATTATCAAAAACATTATTTTACATTTTTAATGTAATTTCATATGAAGTTTTAAGATTTTTCGGTATACTAAAACCTGGAGTATTAAAAACATGTTTCTTACAATATTACCTATGTATACCTATGCTATTAAATAATTGGAAATAAAGTTAACGATATTTAATTCATAATATATACGCTATTAAAATTGTGAAAGGTAAAAATCCAGTTCAAAATAGTTTTAATATTTCGAATTTAACACCTATGAAAAATAAAAACTTAATAATTATTATGTATATATTTTAAAATTATTAAATAAAGTGTTTAAATCAAATTATTTGCAAAAATATTTTTTAAATAAGCTTCAGGCTTAGAATTTGGTTATATGTGTATAAATATAAATTTAATTTTGTGTTAAATATATTGTTATTAGCACATTTTGTTTTTTATTATTGGTAGAATTGTTATTTACATATATTTACTAAGCACTATTGTAAATTATGATGTGTTTATATATTATAGATGTGGTATACTAATCGTTTGGCGGCATGGAGAAGGAGCCAAGGACTTTCAGATTGTTTTGGGCAATTGTGAATTTAAAAATACTCTAACTATAAATTATAATTACTATATTGTTTAAGTAAAAGTTTGTTATGCATATATTATAATAGTGATTTTACGATTTATATACTATATATTTCGGTAAAGTTACTTATTTTTTTTTTTTTTGTATTTATTTAGATTTTATTAGCACTCATTGTTTTATTTGGACTATTATATGAGTATTATTATCATTAAACACTCACTGAACTTATTAAATCATGAATGTATTTATAATAAAATAAATCATGTAAATTAACAAAACATTACCTAATTATTATTATTTATTTCAATTACGTTACATTTATTGATTTATAATACATAAATCGACATTGTTATATTTACAATATGTCATTTAATTGAAATGAAGATGCATACAACTTTTAAAACATTTTTCATGTTTTTCAATATTTTAGATTACAATCAATCATGTGGCATATGGTATTTTAAGAATTAATCTTCATTTATTTATTTATACTTACCTTACGTAATTATAATAATTTTAATCAACTATATAATATAACAGTTAAATTTTATTTGGAATGACGATTCTTGAGAAATACCTCGTAAACTTACACTCAAATAATTGTTTTATAAATAAAATGTTTCGTTTACTTACATAAATAAAGTTTTTGAACATTCCTAATGATTGTCTAACTATATATATATATTAATTTATATTCATAATATTGTTATCGTTTACGCGCAATAAAATTATTACATATCAACTAAGACAAGTGTCTAAATACAACTATATTTTAAGTTTTTCAAAAATACATGTAATTTTTAGGTTTAGGTATAAATATTATATATTATACGTATAGTTTTATCTTCATTTATACGTACATTTTATAAAGTTTAATACCGTGTAACAATTACAAATATTTATTTACGCACTAAATAATTTAGAGTTTTACTTGTTACCGTCCACATACCACAGTTACTTGAAATATTCATAGTAAACAAAACTTAGACACTCGATCAAATCGAGAAAATTACTCAAAGAAGAATAAAGTTTCTAATGAAGTTATCTTAACTCCAAGTATTCAAACATAATCACTGTTATAAGAGGACGCCACATCCGTATGTGTTGTCTTAGTCTTACAAACATATAAAATATGCAAATTGTACGTTCACATAATAATCCATTTTACTCTGTCATTTTTTAAATTAAAATAGATTAACTTACTATAATAATTTTAGGTAAGGTTATATTTTAATATTTTAATCACGAAGTAAATTATGAGTATTTTGAAATTATTAGAATCTATAAACACATAAGGCATACTCTTACCAAGATAATTAATTTTATCAAAACATAAATATTATGTTATTCGATTACACGGAAAATTTAATAGCTTTTAAATCCATATTATATTATACTATTAATTATTATATCGTATTCATTTTATTTACTTGAAAAAATATTTTAATATTTAATACGTATAATATGCTTATTGTTGCAGTCAGTACACAGCTAATTAGAATAATTTGTCATACAGATTTAAATGAAAATATGTAAATATAAAATGTAAACATACTGCAGCGTGGTTAAAAGTATAATAATTCTTTAATCGTTAGTTTAATATCTCCGTTATGATTTATGAACATAACATACACAACGATTATCGATAAAACATGGCAACTGGCAAGAGGTGATTTTCTCGATGGTTTGAATAATCAAATCGATTTTTCAAATGACTCGTTAATCGTAATATTGCAAAAATTATAGATTTTTATAACATTGAGTATATGTTTTTAGCAACGGGACAAAATTACGAAATATTTTACATTTTATTGTCATGATAAATCACAAAAGTCTGTTAAGATGTTGTGATAATAGATACATTTTATGGAATAATATTTTCAACTTATTGATTACCATATACCACTGTGTAAAGAAATATTAATCATGCGCTTTCTCTAAATAAATATGTTATAAAAGTAATTAAGAAAAACATCACTAATAAAACCGGCAAGCTGAGGTGTCAGGTGAGTGAAGCCAACTGAAATACTCAACAACCGGTCTGTACACGACAACGCTATCCGAGGTTTTACGTATTCGACCACGACGACCTTACTATTTGGTTAACACTTGACTGCAGTGTTAATACGTACTTTTCGTCTTTTTTGTTTTATTTATCATATCTAAAAGATTTGGTAGAGAGATAATATAAAACGATGGGACGTGAAAAGATAATGTTATTGTAACATTAATACGCTGTGCAATGTTATTATTAAATAGACGTTAGAAAGTGAATTATTATAAGAAATATTTTTACAACGCATAATCTTACGGCTAGAGTGCGCTATTTAATACGTGATGGTTAAAATATTACTTAGGTCCATATAGTAAATATAGTTGATGAATAATGATAGATAATAATGTTAACGAAATAATTTGAATTTCAATACCTACCTATTCTTAACAGTATTTTAGATTTACAGCAAAGCAATAAATATATTGATTTTACAATGCTGTGTTTGTTTTTTTTCTTGGATGAGTACCTACTCAGTTGTAGATAAAATTTGCAGGAAGCGGTTTTGAATAATAAATTGAATCTAGTTTGTACTTTGAAGATTACCAATACTTATTTTTATAATCAGAGAAAACAAATTAAGAATTAAGGAAAAACAGTGGGTCAATATGCTTGGTTAGGTTAGGTTAGTTATTTATTTATCAATTAATAAATATTGAAAATCTTTAGTCAAATATTTTTTTTATAAGCGTTTAAAGTTAGAACTTCAACAAAATTTGCCAAAACTGAAAAAAATTACAAACTATTCGTGGTTAAAAATTCGTAAAATAATTTTTTTTTGTATATACGTTTTGAACTTTTAATTCAAGATTTTTTCATACTGTAACTATAAAATCTAAAAGATGATTATATTTTATTCGCATTTTAAGTTCCAACTTGGACGAAATTTAATTGACGAATAAATAACGATATGTTAATTATTTTTTATAATTTAAAAACATCATTGGCGGGAACTCAACCTTTTAAATAGGTACCTATATTATATTATTATGGAATTTACTATACACAATACAATTTTTGATTTATTGTATAATATTATCTAATTATAAGCACTATGAATCTATTTTTAATATTTTACAGTATTTACAGAAAAATGTTAATACATTTTGAGTTACGTATATAAATTAATATAATATGATATAAATATATATTATTTTAATAGCCAAACGTAAATAGTATAATAAATGTAACATATTTGGAAAAATTATATCAATCTATTATAATACTAAAAGTAAAATAAATGACTTTAATAGCTTTATCAAAAATCATATCAATTGGTTATATACTCGTAGACTGATAGATTGTTTTTGCTCAAAATAGTTATTCATATACAATGATACATCATTAAATTCAAATTTAATACACCTATATGAATGAACCTCTCGACACCTAATGTACAGCAGAGCAGTACCCACTGGCCACTTGCCTACAGTTTTATACATAAATTCGTATAAGAACTTCGTTATTATTATTAAAAAAAAAATACGAATACCTGTATACACGGAATATTTAAAGGTTCTTCTACCAGTTATGTATAACATACTTAATAGTAACACGAGTTAGAGGTGGTATCCATCTTGATGTGTATTTCCTTATTTCCTAGTAGTGTGGGAAGTCGGAAAACGTTGTAGTCAACAGACACAAGAAACAGATAGAATATAGTAAATACGTGATCACGCGAATAGAATGCGTAACTTTATTGAAGGCGTCAGAAAATATAAATAATGATAATTTAACAAGCTAAACAAATTATTTTGAATACAAGGCAAATATAATTTATATTACAGAATATATTGGTTATTAGTATGCGACTGTGATTCGGAGTTCTGTGGTTTCGATGGTTATACAATTCCAGAATGAAAGGACAAAAAAATAAAATATATATATTTTATAGATAGGTCAAATATTATATATTTTTATAAATTAAATAATTTGATTATCATTGCGTATTAAGTTGATAAATTTTTATTTTTACTTTAATTCCATGTGTATATAATTTTAGTTGACAAAATTGAGTGAAGAAATACAACTACACCGATCAAGATCAATGACAAAATAAATTATTTTGTAAGTATACAATGGTATATACCTAGGAGAGATTATGAGAATACAACACATTCATCATTCAGTTTGTTTGGTAATTAAATAATTTTTTGGTTTTAAAATCAATGTTATACTTACACGTCTTCTAAATTTATAAGCTATATTTCTATTTTTGTTCGACTTTTAAAAATATAATAGACAATGTTAGCTTTAAATATTGAATCCTTAAGATCTAAAATAATAATAATATTTTCAGAAACCGAGTCTATACCTTTTTAGTTTGTCGGTAAATGTTACTTTATATTACTATTATATAATATAAATAATAATTTTAATTTATAAATGTTTATTAGCAAATCATGTTTTTTTTATATATATATATATATATAATTTATTATAGATTACTTGACCTCATAGTACCAACACTGAATGTGCGACGCACAATATTTGAGTTCTACGCCCAAATGTCCCTAAATTGCCTACTTTTTACGCCGTTTTAAGTGTTCACATTTTGATGAAATGCAAACATTGATTGCTTTTATATTATATATCTATAAATTTTGATAACTAACTAACAAACTAAGCTTTCAAATATTGTAAGCAGACTTTCATAGCATAACATGAAAAGGTAAAGTCGATGGTTTCATCTTATTTGGTGAAAAATTTTAGAACAATTATAATCCACTTTTGAATCCTACAAAAAACATGTAAATTTAATAAAAATGTATATATTGATAAGACGTTACTTAAAGTACGTTTCTAACAAAGATTTTCACTATCCTTTGAGGCTGCAACAGGGAAGTGCTTTGTCCCTAACGTTATTTAACTTGGACATCGAAAAGGTTATATGAGAATTTTATGAAGACCGAAGAATGAAAGTAGTTATAAAATAAAACATTTTAACATATTGTGATGACATAGTTCTTTTAAGGAATACATGAGTAAAAGTTACAAACTCACACAATCGTCGTTATTCAATGTAG